TCACCCCTGTCCTCCCCAGCCAGCTGGGTGTGATCCCCTTACAGCCCCTGCCCTTCCCTTCCCTGCTCCTGCTCCTGCCCCTGCCCCTGCCCCTGCCCCTGCCCTTGCCCTTGCCCTTGCCCCGGCCCTGCCCCTGCTCCTGCTCCTGCTCCTGCCCCAAGCCCCATCCAGCCTGGCCTTGGACACTTCCAGAAATGAAGCATCCACAGCTTCCCTGGGCAACCTGCTCCAAAGTCTCACCCACCCTCCCACTAAATAAATTCTTCCTAATGTCTGACCTAAATCTCCTGTCTTTCAATTTAAAGCCATTAACCCCTTTTCCTGTCTCTCCACACCCATGTAAGAAGTCCCTCCCCAGCCTTCTTACCACATTTCCCCATGTAGTAACGTACTTCAGATCCTATCGTGAGTGATTAACAGCAGAATGTCACACAAACTATTAAATTAAGGCAACATAAAATTAAACCGTGGCCCTTAACCGTGTTCTAACAAACAGACCTTGTTAGCTGTGCCACTGAGGAAAGGTGTACCTCCCTAGCCACAAGGAATTTCCAGCTTCCACAAAGCACTGGCTGTTCTTAAACGAGTCATTTAGTTTACACACGAGTGCAATATATTTTCTATAGGCTTGTCCCATGAATAAGCCACAGATCCTCCACTTTCCTGTCACATACATGGAGACAACCTGTAAATTACTCTGACGTTTACATTTTGTATTTCAGCATGAGCACAGTATTTCCTCTTTTGGAGGTGGAAAGTGAAAGATATATTTTACCAGCTTTTCGTTCAAAACTCCTTCTTAAAGAGAAAAAAAAAATGTCACCAAGACCTCCTGGTGCATAAGGTCCTTATAAATCTAATTCTTGCTTTATCAACATCACTGCAAAAAAATTAATGGAAGGTGCAGTTGGTAATGGTTAATGTGCTGAGGGAAGGAATTGCATTTCATGGGATGCAAAAAGAAAAAGAAAACTGACAGAGAAATACTATCAGCAGCTGCCTTTGCTGAAGTGCTGCAAATACAGCTAAGTTTTGTGGGTTTTTGTTTGTTTGGTTTTGTTTTGTGGGGTTTTTTTACAATGGAGGTTTTACCTGAACTTAAGTTTTCATGTAGGCACTAAACATGGATACCCCACGCAACCTGAAAATGAACATCGGAGTTCAGCTTGTGGTAAAACAAATCCTTAATCCTAGGCACAAGTGCAAGGAAATGCACTGGATTCATTCTCTGTGTTTGCTAAAATTTGGATCCCAGAAGCATAAATTAAGGGCGCATCTGGAACTCTCTCCTAACCAGGCTTTAAGTTGTCCTGAAGAACAAGGTCTGCTGAAGAAGAATGCGATGCAGGCACAATTGGATCAATACATCATCGACTTTGAAACCTCTTAAACATCTCTGCTTTTATGAATTACAATAAAATATAAATGTTAAATACCTAATACAAGCAAATATAAGCCAGAGACACTTCTCATTCAACCAGCCTATTCTCAAACACTTCAGCTGCCTGTAAGAAAAAGGGGAGCAGGGTCCCTCAGGCATCTTAAAAGCCTGTCTACCTTTCTGTTCTTGCTGTTCCTCACGCTGCATTTACAGCAGAGGCTGAAAATGTTGCGTTTTCTCTGCAGAAGCCAGCTGAGCATCTACAGCATCTATTAACTCGCAGTGGAGCTTACATAAAATGGAGACCACGTATCCAAACTGCAGTGATTTAAACCCACCAGGTTTCCTAACAATTTGTTTTGTTCTGTATTTATAATATTTCTCCTTCCAAGCTACTATGATCCGGGGAATTCCTTTGTAATTAAGAACTTTTTTCTATCCTGGATGTTTTTTCAGCCCTGGTTACCAAGATAAATGTAATTTCTCTGCTGTGTTGTTGTTTTTTTTTTTCCCAGTAGCAGCGAGATTTTCTGCTTTTGTGCTACAGCAAAAAAACAGCAACATGAAAACACACTGGCTTCAGCACCGTTCCTCCTTCCTCTGGGACACTCAGAACCCTGGGCTTTGCTTATACTGGAAAAATGGGACATATTAGGAAACATCTGCCCCCACACAGCCAGAGTCAAGCACCCTGAGAGCTTTATGCCCCTTCCTAGAGGTCTGGCACCCGGGCTGGCTGCCAGCCCAAAGATAGTGCAGCTGAGGGCTGCCTCCTTTCCCTCTGGTGAGCCTGGGTGCAGGGCTGACATTCCCCTTCCCTGGGGAGCTGCATTCCAGCTGAGGCTCAGGTGCCTGGCCCTGCCTGAGGGACAGCTACAGCTGGGTGACAGCTGGGTGCCATCAGCCTGCACCTGCCAACCATCTCGCTGGCCAGACCTCAGCCTTGCCTCGCTGCTCTGGACTTTTCTGCTGATCGTGGGGCTGTGTCCCTCCCTGATTGCTGTCACTGGATGCTGACTTACATTCCTGGCTTGACCTCAGGCCTATCCTGTCACCATGGACTTGTCTAGTGATCTGGACTCGGTGTTGACTCCCTGTTGACTCCAGCTGCTATCTCCAGGCCTGCCCTGATTGCCTTGCTCATATCCTATGGGATGGGGCCTTGGCCAGGGAGGTCCCTGCTCCACTGGTTGTGTTAAGGCACTCTGCTCCCTGTCCCTTAGGCAGCAGCTGTCCCTTGCTGTCCCCTGACACCAGAGTACTGTGCCACCTAAGGAACACCAGAGCACTTCCACTGACCCAGACTCGTGGTCTGTCTGGATCAGCATCTTCTCTCCTACAGAGACTAGTTCTTTCTCCTAAAATACATGTTGCCATTCAAGAACAAGATCCAGAACAAAGGGGAAAGGCAAAATGGGCTATCCATCATTATCAAAAGGGCTGAGTGAAGAGTTATAAATCAGCCAACCTCCATTTGCTATCTGGAAACTTAATGAAACAAGCTGCTCGGCAATCAGTGAGCAAGCAACTAAATAAATAACAATAAAGTGATGAGAAACAGGCAGTGTGCATTTGTCCAGAACAAATAATGTCAAAGTAACCTAATTTATTTATTTGCTGACATAACTGACTTAGTAGGTGCTGAAAGGAATAAATGAAACATATTTTGACTTCAGGAAGGCTTTTGACATTGCCTCCAACACTGCTCTGGTAAAGGCAAATAGGTGTCAGGTGGTACTAACATGAGAGAGGTGTGTGATTGAAAAGCAATTCCCAAACTTTAGCAGTGGATATTTTCCTGTCAATAGGAAGGTATGTCAGATTAAGAGGTCTGACCTGTCTGCTGGGATTGATTACTTTAATTGATTACTTGAATGGTTCGACTTTAAAATTCTACAAATAACAACAAGCTGGGCAATACCACACTTTGGAGGCAAAGGTAAATTGCAGAAAGAGCCTCAAAGCAGTGAGATGAAATTCAATAAAGGTAAGCACAAAGTATTACACTTTGAAACAAAAACTTGAAGCCTTAAATTAAATGCAAGGAAAAAATGTGTAGCCTTGGGTAGGATACCAACACATACTACCACTCAGGGCAGGTACTTTAACAAATCCATAATTCTGCTTTGGAAAATGGGGACTACGTGGATAGCCACTTTATCACAATAACAGCATGACTAGGGGAGGCACAATGCACTGACACTGCACTGATCTCCAGATTTGAAATCTGCACAGCAGCAAATAGACACAAAAAATTATTTGCAGCTACCAGAGCTACCTTGGTTTGCAGAACACCAGCCATGTGCCACCTGTCACATCACTCTGAGCAACCTGGCATGGCCTTGACATTCTTTTGCTTTGCCATACTTCCTCCTGTTGCCTGAAGCCTCTCCTCTCTGGAAGAAGATGTGGTGCCCAGTCTCCTCCCTCTGACATGTGCCAGAGGGCTGTCAGCCCTGCCAGGGTACGTGAGGGTCTACAGAGGGCAGTGGGTGAGAGGGGAACTGTAGGGTCAAGGAGTCCTGGGCTCTACAGGGCAGGGAGGGGAAGCCACAAATCTCCCAGTGCTACCACTGCTTGAAGTCCCCTAGGAGAGGTCACACCACCTCCTGCTACGAGGCAAGACAGAGTCACAAGAGCTCAGTGGTGACATTGTATGGGTCTTCTGCTCCGCACAGCATGATACTTTAGGCCAAAAGGCAAACTCTTCGTGTCGGATTGTCTGTTTTCCAGTAGATCTCCAAGGTGGGGCTTTTTTCTCCTTCATGCCGCCTGTTGGGACTCTGACAAAAGGCAGGTTGACTGGAACAGCAGCGTGCTGCTTCAAGACAAACACAGGAATCACTCACAGTTGTGTTGGTTTTGTTTTTGTTTTTTTTTCTCTTGGCTGAGCTCACACAACGACCTGAAGATCAAAACGATGATACAGTGCAGGCTGGCTCGTTTTGCTGAGCCTTACAACTTTTCCTCCAAAGACAACGAGTGACCCCCAGAAAATCTCTTCAGTCTTGAAAACAAAACCCACAACTTGGAAAGCTGCTGTGCTTCTGTGTCACTGTCCCTGGAGGCTGCAGGGTGGCTTTATGAAACCGCAGCTCCCACTAGTTCATCCTCAGTCTGAAAAACCTTTCTGGTTGCTTTCTTAGCCACACTCTGTCTTCTCTGACCTAAAAGTGCATCCCTCCACCATGGGATTTGACACGTTTTCCAGGTGTGTTTTCAAAAGAAAAGCACAGGACGTGTAAGCTGTGGGACTCCTGGCCCTTTCACAGCCCAACAGTGGCTCTCATCTTGCTGGAAAAGGTTGAGAGCATCACCACAGTGTTTGTAGGAGTTTCGTTAACGACTTTTAAAGAACGTGAGACGCATCGAGTCACGCTCAAAAATAACGAAATGACTATTTTTTGCTGCAGCCTTTCCCACTTTGGGACTGGTCTAAAAGACAAGCGCGTTCATCCCCAAGTTACGGGCAGACCAAAAACCGAGCTGGGGGACGGCCCGATGCAGGACTGGGCTGCCGGTGCCGGCGGCAGCTCCAGCCGGGCGGC